GTCATGATCTGGAGAATATTTCAAAGAATTTTTTGGCAAAAACCGCATGTCGATCAATGCAGCCATTAAAAAGCCTTTTGAATAGCAAAATTCGGCCACCACAAATAGATAATAGATATATTTATGTATATATATAAAGCAGTACTGACGAATCTCTTCTGGTATAGCAACTGGTTAGAGAACACCTCTGGTAGGTCCTACTTCTTTCTTCTTTTAATTCTCACTGTTGTTTCTGTCTGTTTTTGTTTTTCTCAAGCTCAAAAAAATTTTGTACAGGTCCAAACTGTGTCGATGTGCTTCTCTTCCCTCAAACAAAAGAATGAGTATCGGATACATATAGAGATAGCATTGCTGTTTAATTTAATGCTACTCGTCAACTTTGGTGTGTTTCTAGCACCACACTCTGACTTTTGCTTCTTCTTTCCTGTCAAACGTCTATTGTCCTTATCTCTCCTCCTTCTTTTTCGTGTTTATTACTCTCTTGTAACACCTCGAATCTTCGGCACTAATATGACCTTATTATGTTGCGAGTGCTGTAAAACTCTTACTAAAACAAAAAATCACTCTGACACACAGATCATCCCCGACAAGAGCCAGATCTGCGACAGACGTCTGTGATCATGGTTCTCTATAAATTATTCCTTTGCTCGTATTAGTATGCTTTAAAAAGATAAAAGCGACATTTTCCTAATCTTTCCGCGTCTCCCTTGTATTCAAGCTCCCTTAGTCGGGTTGCTCTGTGTCTAGCACTGCTTCTTTTGCCTTCAATTTTTCCAGTGAGAGCTAGATATGTTCAAGGCCTTTATGTCTTTTCAAGTGTCTCCAGAATTTGTGCATTTGTGTAAAAAAAAATTAAAAAATTAAATTCATTCCTTTACCATTCTGTACAACTAAACATGACCTAAAAAGAACTATATGTGAGGCAGCGTGGTAGAATCAGGCTCTCGTCAATTTTTGGGCATGTAGAGTTATTGGTATCATCTTAAAGATTGTTCACTCGTCTTTATTATGATGAAAAAAATATCCATATATCTTGAATACAAGTCAAGATATTTGCGAATGAAGGAAATGGGGGTCACCTATATTTAGAGGTAAAATTAGTGAGAAATGGCCGCAAAAAGATCAGTAATTTCCTTAGCTTAAAGTCCGTGGTAACTGAAAATTTACATTTTTTATGCCTTTAATAAACATTTTTCAGAAAAATCCACACAGAAACGAATTCTTTAATGGGCATGAAATGTGTTGAGCCAAAAAAACAAATTTGTATAAAAATTCACAAACCTGCGAAAAAAATGCAAGTTTCTTCATTTTGGTTATTCTGACGAGAGCCTGATTCCTCCACGCTGCCTCACACATATATATACACAGCTGGTTTTGGAACATCCCACAAAATGTAAAACAAAGTCCATTAGAGATTATCTTAATTAACCTCAGGGCTGTTCTCAAAAGAGCTCACGTCATTTTTTCCGCACTTTTGCAGACTCACGAACAGGATAAGCATACACATGTTTGGATGTCCGCCTCGATGATTATTATCAATTACGATAATAATAATAAAAATAATAATAATAACAACCACAATCACAATAATTATAATAACAATAAGTATGATAATAACAATAATAATAATATAAATAAATAATAATAGTAATAATAAAAATAATAATAATAATAATAATAGTAATAATAATAATAATGGAAAATCAATTTCAATATCGCTGGAAAGTGTAAAATGAATAAACTCCCTAAAAATATGCATTTGGTTTTTCCCTTACTGACTAGTGACTGGGTGGGTAGAGAACACAGCGAGTATAGGTCCTGCTTTTTTTTCAAAGTCAATTTCACACCTATCTTTCAAGTGCCCCAGGATTTATGTTGGAGCCTTAGCATCCAGATTTGTATCAAAATGTTAGTTATAGTTAGATCTAGATCTGTAGTGATTTTTGTACACAATATTTTTGGTGGTTTTTTTTTAAGTGGAGAGGCAAATATTATTAACTCATGAAATTGATTTCAAATGTTTCATTTTTCACATTGCCTTGATAAAAACAGATGTATAACAAACATAATTTTTACACCAATATTTTCTGTTGTGAGCACTAGGGGGTTAAGGTTGTTGGATGAACTGGGTAGCCTAAACACTATCTGAAGTCGACATGCCGAAAACTAAAATTTACATCCCCTGCATATTTGTAAAACTATGTTTAAAAGATTGAAATATAATATTTTATACAAGAACAATGACATCTACTGTGAAAGAAAAGACTACGAATGATCTGTTCCTTAAACTAATCTTCACTCAAAGCCTGCTGCTTACAGTTAGGCGTAGCCTACTTTCCTCTCTCAAACTCGAACTGGGTAAACACTCACTGAGCAGCGGAAAACTTAATAAATCATTTCAAAACAATCATATGAATGAAAACATACAAAAGTTGAAATAATAACAGATCAAAGCATACCAATTTCAGCTTTGACACACCATTTTCTCAGAGCTGGGTTCGGCATCCTTTTTACTTGGCAGCAAATTTGTTTATATTTTAAGTAGCGTTCTGTATTTATGGAGGTTTTCAAGATGACGAACTACCTAAAATTAACTCGCGGGCTAAATATAAGTTTCACCTGTCTGGATAAAACAGATAAAAGTTTAAAAGGATAACAAAACAAGGCATACCAATTTCAGCTCTTAGGCTAATAATTATATCAGAGCTGGATGTTTGGCAAAATGTTCTTGTATCAATATGTTTGAAGTAGGGTTCTGCATTCTGGAGATTTTCAAGATGATAGTCTGCCTAAAATTCTCACATGGACCAGATAATAATTATGTGAGGCAGCGTGGTGAAATCAGGCGCTCGTCAAAATAATAAAAGTGAAGAAACCGGCATTTTTCCTCTGGTTTGTGAATTTTTATCGAATTTTTGTTTTTTGGCTCAAAACTTTTCATGCCTGTTAAGGAACACATTCCTGTGTGGATTTTTACTTTAAAATGTTGATTAAAGGAACAAAAAATGTAAATTTTCAGTTTTCACGGACTCTCAAGTTAAGGAAATATAACTCATCTTTGGCGCCCATTTTCTCATTAATTTTACCTCTGTACCCAGGTGACCCCCACCTCCTTCATTCATAAATATCTCGACTTCTGTTCAAGGTAAATGAATATTTTTTAAAAATCCAAAGCAAGACAAATTAACAAGCTTTACGATGGTACCAATAACTCTACAATTGCCCCAAAATTGACGAGAGCCTGATTCCACCGCGTCGTGACAAATAGGACAATGTTCGCCAGCCCTGATGAGGCCCCGCGGGCCTTGAGTTTGACATAATTTGTGATGTAGAAAGTTAGGAGGAGGTCAGTAACCGCATCTGTGTGAGTAAGGACACTCCAACGACCACAACGGCGATGAGAGTTAGGTGAAACGATGACCACGCTGAACAGGCTGAAAAAAAAGGTAGAATAGAAAGAGCATTAAAAGTTGATGATACGAATTTCATCAACTAACTATTCTTGGGAGTACACTCTTATTAAAGGTATGAAATTTTTATTCGAATATATAATGTGTTTTTATCGTTTTATTTATGATGATGGTTTTTATTAATTCTTTTCATACTTACTATACAACGAAAATGAAGATAATGAAGATGATGATGATGATGATGATGATGATGATGATGAGGGCGAAAAGTTGAACTTGTCATTAAATATTTTGGAAATATAACCAGGTCTTAATCGTTTTACTGCCTGCTTTACACAATGATGATGATGATGATGATGATGATGATGATGATGATGATGATGATAATGATGATGATGATGATGTACAAAACGTACTAGCATGGATAACAGAAAAACAAAAACTTACCACTGCAAGCAAGATATCCTATGGTCAAATCTGTTTGGAAGACAGAAAAAAAAACCAACCCAAGAATTCAATTAGATTCTCTAGCGATTTTGCAAACTTTGAAAGACAAAGGGGGGTCCAATGCAAAACTTATCCTGGAAAAGATTATAAAAAGCCATACGTATACTACATGTCGTATATATAGAACTACACTCTCCTCTATTTATAGGCTTCGTTTTGGATACGTTCAAAGAAACTGTTTAATCTTGATTAATACAAACTTTTCAGAAGGCATCACGACATGATCAAAGATAATACGGCACTGGTACACTTTGCTACGGTTCACTCTCTTAACCCTATCCGTACGCCCTGGGGGTTATTTTGTACCCCCAGGGTTGTATTCTTCACATTTTAGAATGCTTCTAGTATGAGGATCTCTTTGAAACTTTCAGAGTTTCCCCAAAAAATCATTTTGACAGACTGCTGTGCAAAGCGTACGGATCAAATTAACGAGTAAACTTCCTCTTTGGAGAGTGGTGGCACAGAGTTGTTCCCCACGTCGTATGGATAGGGCTAAAAAAAGTGTCCTCGAAAATCCACTTGCAATTCTATCAACATGGCCATCTGCATTGACAGAGACGCGTTGTGTCTCCCTTTTTTAAAAATACGAGTAGAATGTCATCTTTTGTGGGCAATCTTTGTTCTGTTCTTTGTACATGTACAATTAATTGTATATTATTTTTCCAAAATAATAGGAAACTAACAATAATTAATTAATATGTTCAGGGCAAATTACTGATCGGCGCAAAAACGATCGTATAATTGCGTGGCAATCTGAAGATTGCGTTAATATTTTATATTTTTTTAAAATAATATTTTTAAAAATTCACTTCCATCTTTATTCTTTTACTCACATCAAGGAGCATTTATATACAATTATTGTTTTCAAAATTGTAAAAATATGAAAATTGAAATTAAAATTAAAATTAACTTATGAAACTGAAGAGCTCACAAGAATGATACAATGCCAGGTATCAAACTCAAAGTTCACGAAGTACATAATTTAATTAATTTTTTTTGTTTTTGAAATAATAAAAAAAAAATTCATTTCCATCTATTCTTTTACTCACATCAAGGAACATTCACTTATATTTTCAAAAGAGTAAAAACATGAAAATTAGAATTAAAATTAAAATATGAAACTGAAGAGCTCACAAGAATGATACAACTTTATGATCGTTAAAACGCGTAGTGCAATTTTAAGCACCAATCGGTAAATTGCGTAGAATAAAAATAATATTGACCTATACATGATAAGTAATACCGATGTGGCCGGTTACAGTTCTGACTTAAGTACACCCACCTTGAATTGAGGAGTGAACTACAAGCAATCTTTGTGTGACTTTAATGATTGCCTTTCGATTCTAGCAATTCATGTCGAGGGCACACCCTGGAGGCTTGCAATTGGTCGCTTTTAAGAACAAGGGGGCTAACCCGAAAAATGCAGTTTTGAGGAAATCGAAGGTAAAGTAACTGTTTTTGCCCTTGTTTAGTTTCTTTAAAAGACAAGGAGAGTGTTCTCTGTAACCAAACAAATACACACACCAATGAAACCAAATTTCTCCTATAGGTAGGGCAACGCCCACTTTTGGTGTAGGTCAAGATTTCTGGAAACCCCCGACATCTGGGTTAGACCACACAAATGTCCTTAAAACCGACCAATTTTTCACGGACACATGTAGATGTACAAATGTTTGACTGGTTGTTTTGGTTTTTTTCCCTTCTCTTACCTTCGTTACACACAGCTTCATGTTGATGACGCAAGTCTCGCAGGACGGTTTTAAAGTTGTCGTTGTCACCCCAGCCGCAGGCACATAGTACATCCTCCAGGCAGATCACCGTGAATTTGGAGCCCCTGTGTGGAGGGAGAGAGAGAAAGAATAGAGAGTGAATCAGTTAGAGAGTTTTGGAAGAAGAGGGGGAAAAAGGGTGGAGGAAGAAAATATATTTTTTTTTACAAGCATAATATTGGTATTTCTCCTCCAGGCAGATCACGGTGAAATTGGAGGAAGAGAAGATCAAGTCTTAAATGAGTGTGTGGGTTTTGGAGGTGGGAAGATAAAATACGGGGGAGTGAAATGGTGAGATTTTTAAGGAAAAAAAAGGAGGGGGGAGGGGGTGGGAAAAAAAAGATTGATATTTTATTAGCATAATATTAGTGTGCCCTCCAGGCAGATGATGGTGAATTTGGAGCCGCTGTAAAAGGAACAGAGGATCAAGTCTTCATGAGCGTGTGGGTTTTGGAGGAGGGGAAAGAAAGAATATGTAGTGAATTAGTGAGTTTTGGAAGAGAAAGGAGAAGGAAAAGATTGATATTTTAAAATAGTATTACATCCACAGGAAAGATTACAGTGAATTTGGAGTTCCTGAATGAGGGAAGAGAGGACCAAGTCTTAATTGATGAGCGTGTGGGTTTCAGAGGAAAGGAGACAAAGACTAGAGAGTGAATAATGAGTGAATTTAGGAAGAAGAGGAGGAGGAAAGGTGGAGGAAGAAAAGATTATTTTTTTACAAGCATAATCTTAGCATTTCTCCTCCAGGCAGATCACGGTGAATTTGGAGGCCCTGTATGGAGGAACAGATGATCAAGTCTTAAATGAGTGTGTGGGTTTTGGAGGAGGGGAAAGAAAGAATATGTAGTGAATTAGTGAGTTTTGGAAGAGAAAGGATGAGGAAAGGACTGATATTTTAAAATATTATTACACCCACAAGAAAGATGACGGTGAATTTGGACAGACAGACACAGAGAGAGAGACATAAAAACTAACTGCCAGCAGAGAACAGGAGCGTGTGAGCAGAGGCATACTACATAAGTATATTACATGTATTAGGAACATAATTTTTATATAACTCTAAAGGTCTTGTAATTAAATTCCTGCCTGCGGTTGAATGATGCATCTGATACAAATGTACATTTTGTCAGCTTTACTTCTCTTTTCATATAGAAATTTTGATGCAAGTAATAAAATATAATTAAATTTTTTAAAATGTGTACCTGCATGTGTTTTTACGGTCCTGTACAGCCGAGAAAAAAAAATTTCCCTCTGGGACAATAAAGTTTTATCTTATCTTAACTCATCTTAACTCATCTTATATCATCTTATCTTATCTTATCTTATCTTATCTTATCTTATCTTATCTTATCTTATCTCATCTCATTTCATCTCATCTTATCTTTATCTTATCTTTGGCGCTCATATGACCTTATGCAGTTGCGAACTCCGTAAAACCCTCTACTATATTTTAAAAAAAATCTTATCTTAATCTTATATAATATCTTACCTTATCTTATCTTAGACCTATTATATATCCTGCAAAATAACAGACAGACAACTCACTCGCAGCTGATGAGCAGCTGTTCTGCCGCCGAGTTCTGAGCGGCCGCGTGTACAGTATAGGCCTGGGTCACGTTAAAACAGCGCTCGTAGCCGGGGCACGCCTTGTCCAGATTGCGCGCGTGCTCCGCCAGAGACACTGAGGGGAGGAGAGTGAATAAATAAATACACAAATAAATATATAAATACATGTATATAAACAAACATACAAATAAATAAACAAAAAATATATAAACAAACAAACAAACAAACAAATAAATAAATAAATAAACAAAAATATAAATAAATAAATAAATAAACAAACAAACAAATAAACAAATAATACACAAATAAATAATTACATAAATAAACAAAGAAACAAATAAATAAAAAATAATAAATAAATAAATAAATAAATAAATTAACAAATTAACAAAAACAAATAAAACAATAAACAAATAAACAAGTAAATAAAAAAATTTAAAAAAATAAATGGGTAAATAGATAAACACATGTAGATAAATGAATGAATGAATGAATGAATGAATGGATGAGTGAATGATTTGAATGAATGAATAGCAGCCTGTTTTTTGTTAGATACTTTTTTGATAGTTTGCTTATTTTGAGTTGGCCATGAATATTGTTGTTGTTGTTGTTGCTGTTGTTGTTATTGCTGCTGTTAGTGTTGTTGTTGTTGTTGTCTTCATTGTTGTTATTGCTGCTGCTTTTGTTGTTGTTGTTGTTGTTGTGGTCGCTGCCGCTGATGTAGACGATCATTCCACTAGAAATCCTTTCGGAACATAGATAGATAGATAGATAGATAGATAGATAGATAGATAGATAGATAGATAGATAGATAGATAGAGATAGAGAGATAGATAGAGAGATAGAGAGATAGATAGAGAGATAGAGAGATAGATAGATAGATAGATAGATAGATAGATAGATAGATAGACAGATAGATAGATAGATAGAGATAGAGAGAGAGAGAGAGATGATACTCACATTCTTGTGCCTGAATCTCTGCTCCAAGTTCAAGGCCGGTGTTTGCAGGCCCTGGTTGGATCGCGGCTGATAAAAAAAAAAAATACAGAGGAAAGAAATTATTAAAGAAAGAAACTTTTAAAATTACCGTATGAAAAATATTCTAGTTTGAATCTGATCACCTTCGTCAGAAAATTTAAAATGGTGTCCCAACGCGGTGGAATCAGGCGCTCGTCAATTTTTGGGCATGTGGAGTTATTGGTATCATCTGAAAGTTGAAAGCTTATTTCTTTGGCTTGTTGTTCATGACAAAGGCACCCATCTATCTTGAACAGAAGCCAAGATTCTTGTGGTTGAAGGAGGTGGGATCGTCTGGTTTCAGTGGTGAAATTAGCGAGAAAAGGGACGCCAAAATTTTGGTAACTCCAGTAACTTCAGAGTCCTTGAAAACTGAAAAAAGACATATTTTGTGGCTTTAATCAAAGTTTTTCAGTAAAAATCCACCCAGAAATACTCGTGTTCTTCATTGGACAACAGTGGTGTTAGCCCCGCTGGTCTATACATTCTATAGTTTTAAAAGTCCTTCACTTTGGTGGCCTAAAACTTCTGAATCACATAACTTTCGAATTTGACCAAATTAATAGTGGTTGAGAATCATTTAAAGGGTTCACTGTTTCAATGAGGAGCCTGCCGTCACTCATGTAGCTTAATTTTCCGTTTTTCATCAGTTTCGTTTAGATCAAATATTGGGAAAGTCTGTATTCTAAGACGCTATTGTAAACAAGTGAGGTTTCCGTTCACTAGCCGTGCGCACTGTACCACACCTTTGAAATTATAGAGTGTACAACCACGAAAGCAGAATAGAGAACCAATCTGTACATCTATTATATATTTGGCAACTAGGAAACACATGTGTCACTTTTCTCTCAAGATTTATTGCTCCATTCCAGTTGAGCGTAAATATAGTAGGTCAATGACTTTCAGTTGATGATAATGCACCGATCACTCCTTTCATCGAAAGGGGGCCCAGCTAATTAAACATAATTTCATTCCATTCATAGCGAGCACAGTAAAAGACGGCAGCTTTGATTTTTCCCAGAACTCGCTATCAATCTCTCAGGGGTGACGAAACAAATCAGACCTATTTTTTATGAGCAATGCTTGAGGAATAACATAACTTTAACACCGTAATATCTTCTGAAAAGATTTTTTCTGCCCCCCCCCCCCACCTCCCTTTTTTGTGTTCTTGAGAAATTCTATCAGATTGGAGAGTAACTTAATCAGTCTCCTTCTGTAATGATTAATCCATGACTATGAATATCTCATTCTTCACGTTGACGACTTCTATTTTTTTCAACTCACTCGCTCGACTATCAACATCCCCCCCCCCCCCCCCCCATTGTTCCTGGTTGTAAAAGTCCACCTCTTGTTCAGAATTGTGAGGCATCGTGGTGGAATCAGGTTCTCGTCAATTTTTGAGCATGTAGGTGTCACCTGTTTTCAGAGGTAAAATTAGTGAGAAAATGGCCGCCAAAGATTAGTTATTTCCTTAGCTTTAGTGTCCGTGGTAACTGAAAATTTACATTTTTTGTGCTTTTAATCAACGTTTTTCCAGAAAAAATCCACACAAAAATGAGTTCTTTAATGGGCATGAAAGGTGTTGAGCCAAAAAAACAAAAACTTGATAAAAATTCACAAACCAACAGAAAAAAGATTTTTGACGAGAGCCTGATTCCACCACGCTGCCCCACAATTGACGAAGGTAAGGAGTAGTTTACATGGTTTCTTTCGTGATAAATTCACACAATTTGTTCTATAACTTGGACAAAGGTGTTTGTATTATAGGATAAATAACAATGACGGTTCTGGTCCGTCTTTTTACCGCAGGGGAAAATGATCCAGAGGAATATTTATGAGAAAGAAATTGTAAACGCATTGATGGGACTTCAGTTGCAGTGTAGATGGAGAATTCGAGAATATCACGACCTCTATTCATCTTGTGGTCGCGTTGATGTTTAATAATACAACTGTTCCCACAATAAACTGAGACGGGATGTCTGTTCTATTGTGCTGGGGATTTTTCTGAAGCCTGCCTATTACTCCGGCATAGCTAGCCCTCTGTCTGTCTGCCGTATGATTTTTCTTTCTTTTTTTTCTTTTTTTTGGATAAGTATTTTGCGGCGCTCGCAACTGCATAAGGTCATATGAGCGCGCGGGACAAACTAAACATTTTCAATTGGTAGGAAATTTTGAATTTTGCCCGGGTGGCGGCCTAAGCTTACTCTTATAGATTTTAGACCACCAAGGGACCTTTAACGTGCGCAACTTGCACACGGGACCTCCGAGATTTTTCGACCAGAAAATCAGGGGTGTGGCTGAAAGACAGCTGTTACAAGGAGCCCAGGAGTAGCAGTAGAAAGACTGCAGAAAGTGAATAAATGAATGTAAATATTAGATGCTCACCTTTGCAATAAATCTCTCCAGCTCTCAGTCGATGGTTTTCAACTGTAAAGGGGAAAAAAATTAATGTTTGTGTTCAGTTTCTGCAAGAAGGCAAGGAGAGTTTTTAAAAAAATTAAAAACTTGTAACGCTTAGGAAGTATTCATTGCAAGCAGTTATTATTATTATTATTATTATTATTATTATTATTATTATTATTATTATTATT